TTTTAGTTTTTTGAGGAACTCCATTCCGTTTTCCACAGTGGCTGCATGAGTCTGCATTCCCACCAAGGTATCACTTTTATTAATTTGTGTGTAAAAATATTTCCATCCTTTAAATCTTTCTACCCTCCCCCACTATAATTGTCATAATAGACACAGATTTATACTTTGTTCTGCCCAGGACTTAAGTTCCCTTAATGTTAGTGTTCAGATTTTTTTTAATGCTTTTAGAGAGAGAGATAAAGGGAGAGGGGGAGAGAGAGAAACATCAATGTGAGAGAAAAATATCTATTGGTGGCCTCCCACACACACCCTGTCCAGTGATCAAACCCACAACTTGGGCATGTGACCTGACTGGGAATAGAACAGGGGACCTTTCAGTGCACAAGACAATACTCAACCAACTGAGCCACACCAGCCAGAGTGTGTTCAGATTTTTCCTTGATGTTTGTTTAGTCTAAGATTTTATGTATTATCCTGGAGGCCTGGTGCACTTCCTGCACAGGGGGAAGGGGAATCCCTCAGCCCAGCCTGCACCCTCTCCAACTGCACCCTCTCCAATCCAGGACCCCTCAGGGGATGTCTGACTGCCTCTTGAAATCCAGGATTGCTGGCTCCTAACCGCTTGCCTGTCTGCCTTCCTGATCACCCCCAAACCCTTTGCTTGCCTGCCTGATCGCCCTTAACCACCTCTGCCTTCCTGATTGCCCCTAACGACCTCTGCCTGCCTACCTGATCTCCCCTAACTGCTCCCCTGCTGGCCTGATCGCCCCTAACCGCTTCTGCCTCGCCACACACCCAAGACCCAGGAGTTCCTCCTCCGGCCAGTCTCAAGCACCTAGGACCCAGGCTTCCCTCCCTCTGGCTGGCCACAGGCACCCAGGACCTGGGCCAGCTTCGCCTAGGCTGCTGCAGCCACAGGGGACTGTGGGCGGGCGGTTTCACCTGGGCCACACCACAGGTGCCTGGGATCGCGGGGCAGGTGGCTTGTCCCTCTCCAGGGCCGCAGCTGCAGGTGCTGGTGCCCGGGACCGCAGGACGGGTAGCTTGTCCCTCTCCCAGGCCACAAGCACAGGCACAGCACTGGCGCCCCGAACCACAGGGTGGGCAGCTTGTCCCTCTCCCGGGCCGCAGCCTGGCTGGTCCCCAGTCCTCTCTCATGAGCTCATTTGTGCCTGCTGGTCCCCATTCCTCTCCCACAGGTTCATTTGTGCCTGGCTGGTCCTCATTCCTCTCTCCCCAGTGTTGAGTGTCTGAACTATTATGGCATGATGGTGTGAGGGTGCAATGACTATTTGCATATTAGCTCTTTATTATATAGGATTAACTACTAGAGACCTGGTGCATGAATTCATGCATAGGTGGGATTCAGCTGGCCTGCCCTCAATGGGGACCCATCCAGCCAGGACAGCAAGAGGGAGAGGACTCAGGAGGTTGGCCAGCCGGCCCCTGCCCCCAATTTGGAGGGGGGGGGCTGTTCAGGGGTGGGGCCCCCAGGGGGAGGGGCTGCAGGCAGTCCGTCTGCCGGCCCCATCCCCAATTGGGATTGAG